ACTCGATGGGTTTGGTTTTGGTTTGTGGTATAACAGTTAAGTGCACAACTGCTAATCGAAAGGTTGGTAGTTTGAACCTACTCAGAGGCTCTGCGGGAGAAAGACCTGGTGATCTGCTCCTGTAAAGATTACGGCCTACAAAACCCTATGGGGAAGTTCTCCAGTCACATGGGGTTGCTATGAGTTGAAATCACCTTGACAGTACCTAACAACAACAAAGCTGAGGGAGAGGACAGATCAGAAAGTGAGATAGGACAGTTAACTGTCACCATGTGGCACTCTATCAAGAGTATGATCAATTCCAGCTCACTATCATGCAAGGCCAAAACAAAAAAAAACAACCAAACAAAACCAGTTGCAATCAAGTCAATTCCAGTTCATGGTGACCCCATGTGTGTCAGAGTAGAAATGTTTTCTATGGCTGATTTTTTGCAAGCAGATCAGTAGGCCTTTCTTCCTAGGTGCCACTGGGTGGACTAGAACCACCAACCTTACAGTTAGCAGCCAAGTGCTTAAAAATTTGCTCCACCCAAGGACTCTATCATGCAAAGCCAATCATTATTTCTGAACAGATCTAATTGTTAGGAAACTTTCTCCTGAAGCCTCTTCATGTAGCCTTTAAAAACAAAAGTTTTTAATGCAACATCATGCAAAAATGATGATGCTAATACCAACAATGTACGTTTACTGAATATTTAACACGTGCTAGGTATTGGGTTAAGTTGCTTTACATGGTTCATCTCATTCAATCATATATTTAATGACTCTATGACATAAAGTGACTGGCCCAACAAGTTTGATGAAATTGAATCCACTGACTCTAAAATTAATCTGCAAGAATAAAGGTGTAGACGTGGGAAAAAGTCAAAATAATTTTGGGAAAAAAAGGATGGATTATTAAATGTTCAATAATCAAATAGTAAGAGTCTTGGTTAAAAAAAAAAAAAGACAGTATATAGCCCAGAAACAGATAACAGAATTTAATGTCATCTCTTGCTACATTAGTGCTTTCATATTAACATGAGCAATCTCATTACATATACAACTTGATTCATAAACAAACATTTTTGGCTTATAATAACCAAGAGTCTGGTTAACAGAGCTAGGAAAATCAAGTTAAGTTCTTTTTTTCATGATTGATGTTGATGCATTCTCCTGTTCTGTCAATGTACTATTTCAAGTATAATAAAAACAGCCTTATTTTATGTAAAAATAGTTCCCAAGCAGTGGTAAGAAGACACGTAATTCAAACCCAGTCATGACTGGCTTCAGTTGTTTTAATGTTTGCACTAAACAGCACAGCAAAATGGGAAACACTAATCTTTTTGCCAGCTACCAAATTCCTGTTTGCTTTAAAAAGGTTTATTAGGTTTTATTAGTGTAATGACAGAGTCAGAGAAGGTAACTATAATTGCTTATTATCAATATCATCTCCCTAATGTTATACCTTAGGTTTTCATGAATATAATCTCCACAATTCTGGACAACAATATATGCTTATGTAACTTTTAGAATTACATGCCCTTACGGCAAGAAACAAACATCAGAAAAATGGCATCACAAATCAGGAAGGAAAGGAAGAATAATTAATACATGGATTTCCTAAAGAGAAAAAAAAATCCATTTTTTATGTTTTACTTCCAAATAAATTTCAGACTGACTACAAAATATAGGTGGAATTGCTGCTTTATTGGAGGGGGAAGAATTTACTAAAAAAGAAAGATAAAGGAGGAGGACTGAAATGGCTATACAAAATGAGAACATCCAAATGGCATTACGAAAAAATGTAATTCTACTAATGCTAAAACCTATTAGAATAAGTTTTTGTTTTTGCCTATCCAATGGTCAAGATTAGGAAAATTATGATTAATGACTGGCAAATGTTGTATTAGGACAGACACTGCTGGTGGAGTGTCAATTGGCATAACTTCCCTGGAGAGCACTTTCGAATATTTATAAAAAGCCTTTAAAATGTTCATACCCTTTGATCGTGATAAAAATCACTTCTAGGAATTGTACCTGAAGGAAACAACCATTTATGAACAAATGCAAAGATGTTCACTCTAGGATTACTTTAAATAAGGAAAAACGAGTAAACATCTTAAATAGTTAACAGAGGAATAATCAACTATATAACCATGGTTATGTATAACTGTGGCGCCCTGGTGGCACAGGGGTTAAGAGCTCAGCTGCTAACCAAAAAAAGATCGGCAGTTCAAATCCACCAGCTGCTCCTTGGAAGCCCTATGAGGCAGTTCTACTCCGTCCTATAGGGTCGCCATGAGTCGAAATCGACTCAATGGCAACAGTTTTTTAAAAAAAAATATATAACCATATAAACACGCTATGCACAATATGATGGAATTTTACACACCAACTGAAAGCTAACACCAATTGAAAGCTAATGACATGGAGGAAAGCTCAAAACATACAGTACCTGCAAAGAGCAAACAAGAAAATAGTATAACCAAAATTTTAAGCACTAACTATAGGCCAGAGGCCATATTAAGTGCTTTACATATTACCTAACCCAAGCTCTTCTAAACACTGAGATATATGGTATTTAGTACATGGCACATAAAAAACATCAAAAGCCAACACATAAAACATACTAGGTGGTTTTCAAAGGATTGTGAAAATCCAGGAGATTTAAAATATTCTGTATTTTAATTTTTTTCCCATGAGCCTGTAAACTTTACGTTCAGAAGTAAGCAAGCATTATTTTCGAAAAGTAATGGATCTAGTAACATTCTTTGGGTAAAAAACAGGCTTAGCAATAGGCTAACTTGAAGTTGCATAGCATCATTTTGGAGGAAAAACAACAAAACAGAGATCAGGTTAAATTATAAGAATTATAAATAGTAGAGAACTATGTCATGAATTATCCAAAATTTATTTTAGAATAAACTGTCCTCATATATTTTCAAAAAATTGCAATTGCTTCTTGAAAAATATTTTTACTTACGCCAAAAATAAAATGAAGCCTGACTTCTTTAGAACCTTACTCCCTGATGGCAGAAGAATGTAACCTAACCATGTAAAATGAGGAATCACTGTTCAGAAATAAATTAAAACCAAAACTGTTGCCACTGAGTCAATGCTGACTCATAGTAGAACTGCCCCATAGGGTTTCCAAGGCTAAAAATCTTTACAGAAGCTGACCCTGAATCTTTCTACTGCAGAGCTGCTGGGTGGGTTCAAACCACCAACCTGTTGGTTAGCAGCTGAGCGCTTTAACCACTGTTGTCACTAGCGCTTCTTAAATTTAAGAACAAGGTAGCATTTTTAAGAAGGAACACTTACTTAGGAAGATGCCTTACAAGTACATCTTTGCATATTGGTTGCTCAGCCAAAGTGAGCCAAAATTCACAAGCTTCTAAAGCGACATTTTCATCTTGATCTTGAGTCCTCTGAAGCATGTACTGTAAACAAACGAATCTTATTATTCAGTTTAAACCACACAATTAAAATAAACTCAATTCTACATCAGCAAGTTAACAGTCCTTTGTTATAGCCTTGTACTTCATAGTGGTTCTCAACCTAGGTTTTGGGTAATTTTTAAAAGCTTACTAGGTGATTCTAAAATGCAGCCAAATTTAAGCAGCACGGCTTTTGAATATCACCCAATGACAAGTGTTCAGAGCATGTAGTGTTCATCGGCGTCTGTACAGGTGTATCTTATTTTATGAAACCAGTAAGATTTTTGAAATGCGGTATTAATAATCAAGTATTAAGCCTTCTTAGAAACATCAAAATAAATAACTCCATTTTAATAACTTTCCTAAAATGAACTCTTCTTATAACATAACCATTCAAGATGTCTCTTGAAATGTTATTCATAGACTTTCATGCATTTAAAGAATATATGCATATTTAAAGTATAAAGCCAAAAAACATTTTTAAAAAATTTGGAAAGAAGTAGTAACATTTCTTGACATGATTATAAAACATAATTCCCAACAAAATAGGTTTATCATGTCCTCTGAACATACCAAGCCAAATTCACTTTTAGTTGAAGGAACACCTGATCTCAAAATCTATCCAAAGACATGGTATTTACCCGTTTTTAAGAAACTCCTACACGTAAGAACAAATAAATGTAACTAAAAGTACTCATGTGACTTCCAATGTATCTGTGGCTGGAATTGGAGTGAATTGATGAATTCCTTATACATATCCTCTACTGGAGAGAAACATCTCACATGACAAAATACGGCAACACATAGTTGTCACAGGCTAGTCCCCATTACATGCCACATCATGACCTATTCCTATGCTAGAAAGTATTGCTGGAGAAAGAACTGTAGCATTGTAAATTAGGTCCCCCGGCTGTGACCTGGTCCTAGCAACCGACAAAATGTCTTTTTTAAACTTTCTGGTTAACTCCACACATCACTAAGCTTTCAAACAACTCCACCTGATGCTTCTAAATATTTCACAGAGAAAATAGGCTCATCAAAGAAAACTTCATTTATCTCCATCTTTATTGCTACGTATTATCTCTATGACTATCTTTCCTAATGTTTTAGGAAAGACGTTCCTGCACATCATGGATGCTAATTTTCTTTGGATAGGTCTTAGACCCCATCCTAAAGATCCTCCCTCTCTAGTTATCCCCTCCTTCACACCACAGGGAGCTCTAAAGTGAAAGAGAGGCTCCAGATAAACATACTATTTAAAATACTTCCAAAGCTATACAACATTTACATACAACTATACCCCGTAACCCATTGCCATCAAGTCAATTCTGACTCATAGTGACCCTACAGGGCAGAGGAGAACTACCCTATAGGGCTTCCAAGGAGTAGCTGGTAGATTTGAACTGCTGACCTTTTAGTCAGCAGCCATAGCTCTTAAACCCGGTGCCACCAGGGCTCCACAATTATACCTGGCAATATGAAAATTAAGTGCTACAGTTTGATTCTAGCAGTACTTAGTACTGCCAAACAATAAATTACTTTGTTCCAATAATTACACCTTGACACTACGTATTCCTTTCTTCAGATATGGCTGAACTGTGATCAATATACTTAAAATTACTTTAATTCCCTCCTAGGGATTGAAAGAGACCCTTTCAAAATCTCAATGGTCTGCTGTAACTGTCATGGTTATGTCGTTTCTACTCCTAGGGATTTCTTCACTATGATAAATCATAAGTTGTTCAGATGAATTTTACCACTAATGGGTAGAAAGCAACTCTTAACTTTAAACTCCAATGACACACGATTATGCCACTTAAACTCCAAAAATTTTGTCATTTAGCCTAACCTATATCTAGTAAACAAAAATAATCTATTTCCTAGTTGTCCACGTTAAAAGCTAGCTATTTCTTAAATAACTTTTTTTCTCCTGTAACATCTTAAATCTCACGAAAGAAAAACCCCTATGAAGATGATTTATGTAAAATTTGTAAGATAATCATTAACTATTTAACTCCCCCTCCCGCCACCCCATCCAATGTGTTAAATAACTTAGAAAACAATGGTTTCACAACATACATTTTGTGCCCAAGATTTTTTTTGAGGGAGAGGTTCAAGTTGCTTGAGTTACCTCAACTATATTATGCATGTGAGGAAGCAGGCGATCCATTCGAACTTCAAGCAACATCACAAGAGCCCGGCACACATTTTTCCGTACCTCTGGTTCTTCATCACCAGCCAATGCAAACAGATTCTATTACAGAAGAAACACATTTTTTCCCCTAGTTTAAAAATTCTGATACATTAGAAAGGTGTATACATAAAAATGAGTAATCTTCAAGTTGGTAACATTTAAAGAAACCTAAAAAGATACAGTACAAATAATGACTGAATTAATTGGCCTACAATATTAGGCTACGAAGTAAGACAATTAAATGTGGGATAATAACTGCCAAAAATTGTGATTTCAGTAAACAATTTAAAGCCATTCTTTGGTAGTGTAGGATCCGTTGTGTTCTGAAGTTATTTTTAGTTTATTAGAATCATGTCATTAGGGCAAAGGGGCATTCACCCAACTCACCCAGAAACAGAAATAATCATTAAAATACAATTTGATTTAGATACTTGGACCTTCACATGTTACCTGCTGGACT